ACAACAGGGGAAGTAAATAACAAAGTTAATGAAGTAGCCTATTATTAATATACGTCTAATATTAACTTTATTTGTCCCACAGGGGAAACTGTTACTAATGATGGAAATAAACTGAAATATTATTGTAATCAACTGTCATCCATACATATTCATTTAAAAATCTTTATAATAATTCATATGATTTTACATGTGGCCTGAGAAAATCATGTCTATTATTTTGGCTTGTAAGATTGGAGATCACGCTGCGCACGTATACAAACATTCAGGAGGACACACACTTCTTGAGAACGCTGCCCCGTGACATTTATTAATAAAAATAGATTAAATAGCCTACTGGAGAGACGTACAGATGCAGGTAGGCAACTGTCTCCTCTCTCTCTCTCTCTCTCTCTCTCTCTCTCAAATAATTAATTCAAGTAGCTAAATGTTATAATTCAACTGTCACCTCTCTCTCTCTCTCTCGATCGAATAATTAATTAAAGTAGCTAAATATTATAATTAATTAATTCAAATAAATGTGATCTTACCGCACTATTTCATCTCTTTCTGATCTGAAGCGGGCAGAATGCGGAGCTAACGAGCCGTAGCTTCGCATCAGGTTTTTCTTGCCTTCACGTCGTGCATTAAAATTGTTCAATGTACAGCTAGCCATGCATTATCCCTAATGTGTTTGCTCTTTAGCAGCAGTTTTTTACGGCAATATTTAAATGACACCCTGGTCATTCTTGGTGCACGCAAAATGGTCCCGCACTATCGACAGGCATTTCTCTGGTGGAAATAAAGCTTCGCTGTTTGGTCTCTCTGTCACAGTTCATCTAATGCGTGTAGTAGCCTCTGTGTCTCTGATAAGCACGTAATTTTAAGCTGGTGCACCTTTAGTGTAACTTTGTTACCATTTTGCACAAGCTGCAACAGTTCCATTCCATGTAACAGAAACACTCGGTTTAGTCACAACTGATTTTGCCAAGGCTTTTGATGCTGTAGACCATACAGTAGCAGTGAAGTGCCTCCTGCATCTTGGAGTGAGACCTAGCATCATTCCATGGATTTGTAATTGTATGTCTAAACGTCGTCAAAGAGTGCGTTATCAGGGATATCTATCTGATTGGGAGTATCCTTCATGTGGAGTTGCCCAGGGAACCATATTGGGCCCCATAATCTTCCTAGCACTGATTAACAATGCTCTCCAGGACCAAATTGCCCACTGGAAATATGTGGACGACATGACCATGGCCCAGAGGTGGACTCCTCATCAGCCCTGTACTCTCCAACAGACGTTGAATGATCTTGGCATCTGGGTAGAGGAACATAAAATGAAACTCAACTCAAAAAAATGTAAGGTCTTACATGTTACCCGCATGAAACAGATACCAGCTTGGCCATCACTTTCTATAGATCAGAACATCTTGAAAATCTGTGACTCTGTTAAGGTTTTAGGGGTTACCATCCAGAGAGATTTAAAATGGGATGGTCAAGTGGACTACATGTAGTCCTCAGCCAACAGAAAGCTTTTTGCTCTCTGCCGGCTAAAGAAATTTGGTGTTCGAGATCAAGAATTGGTTATCATCTATACAGAGTATGTGCTAGAGTATGCAGTTCCAGTTTGGCACAGTTCACTGACTACTGATCAAATTAAAATTGAAATGTGTGCAGAAACGGGTCTGTAAAATCATACTGGGACAAAGGTACGAAGGATATTCCGACGCCCTCTCCCTACTTGGATTGTGCACACAAGCAGAGAGATGAGTCCAACTGAGTTGATTTTGCTAGGAAGCTATACAAGTCTAGCTTTAGAGACTGGCTACCACCACTCAGGGAGCAGCTGACTGGACGCCAGATGCCAAACAGAAAAATTCAGGAGATCACCTATTCCCTATATGTGTAGACTTTTAAACGATTACGGATTTTAAAAGAACTTTGTGTATTCTTATGATGTATTTTATTAATTTCTTTCTTTTTTTTATTTTTGCATTTTAATATGAAGTAAATTGGTATTGACATTTTATTGTAACAGCAAAATAATTCAGTGTCCCCTAAGGACAAACGTCTTTGGGTACCTGTAATGATGCTGAAAAGTCTATAATCAAATAAAATCAAATAAATCAATACTTTTTTCATAATTTCTATACTTGAAAGATATATTTTGAATTTGGACTGTAGTAGACTGCGCAGTGCAAACAGACATGATGAAGGCATTAAGCCATATTGTGCTTTCAGTTTTAGTTCGTTTGACAGATACGGTACCAAAGCATAATGGCCCAAAACACAACTTTAAAGACCTTTTATGTTAGAATAAGAAGTTTAAGTATATTTTAAAAAACTCACTTTTTGCCCTGGAAGACCTATCGTTTCATATCGTCATGTGACCACGATAATATCGAGGCAGTTTTGATATCGCAATATCACGACATTGATAATATCATTACATCCCTACGATTTAATAATACATATTTATTTTTAAATTTACTAAGTTTTTGCAAGAAGATGCAATAGAGACCTAGCATTGCTGATGATCAGCCAAGTGGGCCTGTAAGTACTCATTAAGATCAAATTATAGAAAGATTTGCATCATTACATTGTTTGCATTAACAGAGCATTAGCTTGGTCCCAAAGTACTGGCACTTCAGACATCTTACTCTACACACTTGTGTTTCCTCCTGCGCACACGGATCAGTATTCACATTCAGTTCCACCAAAGTCAATGTCCATGCAGCGCACGCGTCCACCTGCACAAACACACACACACACACACGCTCCCTAAACACGCTGGAGAAATTGCCCAGTTATCCACTCTTGACAGACCAGTAACAACAGGCCTCGTTCGCATCGATCGCGCTCTCCATACACTCTCTCTCTTTCCCATCACTCAGCAATTAACACAACCAGACCTGACTATGCATTCATTAACACGGCCGCCCCCCCGGACACCTACCAACGCCATCACAGCGCCTGTTTACTCTGAGCTGGCTTTTTAAATTATCAATCAGAAAAGCAGAAATTGCATGTGCACTACCTGGCACTGCAAACGCAAAGTAGAGTTAATATCATAGACTTCCTCCATTCATCTCCCATAATCCCCTTCTCTATTGGCTCTGCCCCCTGTAATTACACTCTGAGATTGATATTTGCCCTCATGGCCAAATGGATATGCATCTTCGGAGAGACTTTGAAAGGCAAAAATGACGATAAACCATCCAGGAGACTTTTGCGTGATGCGTTATTTATCACTTTAACTGCCCCCTGATTGTTTACGGCTGGTATTGGGTATTGATATTCAATACTTATGACTTAATAATGTCATTCCTATTTCTGCGACTAAATGCTTGAGGTTAACTGACCATAAAACAGTATAAAATAGTTTATAGTAAATGACCAGTTACAGTAAAACCAACATATTAACATACTAAAAACAAAAGTCCTATGTAATAATATGCATTTTGCATATTTACCATGGTGGCATGATGTGATATCATCACAGTATTTTTTTTTTTAAACAAGTCAAGCTGGTCTACAAAGTCTAGGAAATAAAATAATATATTTATTAAAGTCTATTTTTAAACAAGTAATAAAAAAGCATAAAACAAACATGCAAAACAAACAAACAGATACACTCATATCTGAGATCTATTCTTTGAAGCCAAATGCAAATACGCATAGAAATCATTCTAATATGCTGATTTGGTGCTTAAGAAATGTTTCTAATTATTATCAATGTTGAAATAATTATGGAACAAATTTGAACGCTTCATTTTTTTCAGGGCTCTTTAATGATTAGACATTTAAAATATATATATTTTTATAACATATTTATTTATTGATTTGATTATTTCTTTATCTTTTGTAAAAAAAAATATTTTTATTGTAACTTTTGATCAATTTAATGCATAAATTAATTATTTTTTTCTGACTCCCAACTTTTGAACAGTAGTGTAAATTCATTAATTTAACAGATGCTTTTATCAAAAACAATTTACAAACAAGGAAAATCACAAGCAATTTGTCAAAAGTGTCAACAAATTCTGCAGTACAAAACCAAATCCAATCAGAATCCAATTTCTGTTCACATTGTTGCAGTATTATGACAATAGCTGACCTAAAAGAGAAAACTGGTCATAAAAGAAGCAGGTTTACGCTTATGTCCTCTATAACACCCCTTGTGGCAGTGCTGAAAATACAATGCCTATTTTTGTTTGCATTATAAATTGTGCTCTGAAACATTTCATAATGCAACAGTGAACTGCATGCATTTGCATTCAGGTGCTTGCACAGTGTATTTTGCTTGAAATTTAAGCAGGTCCAAACTGGCTTTCTTTCAAGCTCTTGCATTTATTCAGAAGTAGAACAAAAAGAAATTAATGTAAAGTAAGACTTCAAGCCACCCCAGAGATTGCGCGGCGTGCATTTACACCAGAGAGCTTGCCTGACTCAGAAGTACAGTGCAGATCAAAAGGTTCATTGAGTTTTTCTTAACAGGTCTGTCTGAAATCAATGCAGGATCAAGAGTGGCAACATTTATGAGTTGTAAAAACATCCCTTGTTGTTTATAGACATCAGAATTCCCTCTTTAACTTGAGGAAAAAAAGAAGGCGAACGCGAGTCCAGACTGCCAGAATCATAATGCAACTGGAAAAAAATCAACACGAATGCTCATTGTGTGGAACAAGACTGGATGTCTTGTGGCAGATTTAGGCAGAGCTGCTTTGTTCGACCGCCACAGCAAGCTGAATCATCATGCTATTTTGCTGATTAGGCCTTCATCAAATCGCTGTTGCTTTCCGAGCAGAGGCCGCAAAGTCCCCCAAAAACGTGCTTTCTGATCCAGAGCACACGGCTCCTTCTCCAGCAGCACATGAAAAAGGAAAAGAAAAATACTTCATTTTCTGAACAAGAGCTCCCAAGATAGCTCTCTGCTTTGAGTAGCAATTAATGCATTTTCTTGCTCAGTGGCTCGCCAAACACATTAATCTGTGGCAAAAGGGTGAGAAGATGGAAGCTAGCGAGTGCACGAGGAGGTGATATAGGAACACAATATAGCCAAGACGTTATTTGTCTGTCAAACAAAGCAGCATTTAACTTGACTGATGTGCACCGAGAGCGCATGAGTGACAAGCCGTTTAACCGACGAGCATCTTCTTACACAAATTATCCCACTTTCCTGAACTATAGACTTCTGTCTGCAATTAAATGAATGCATAGCAACTCCAGCTAACACAGTAATGAGGCATTAATAATGAGAACTAAAGCAGAAATAAACCTGGAACTATGTACTTATTTTAGCCACTTGTTAGAGTTCACTTGGTGCAAATTGAGCTTCTTTTTCGTCTCTGGAGAAAAGACCAATGTAGCTGAGCACCATAATGGGATACCAGCATCCCCTTCAGGCTGTTTAATTAGCTTAACCAGCTCCAGCAGCTATAACAAAGCAGTACTGATCAGTCCGAACAACCATGGATATTCATCTCAGACTTTCTTCTTTCTTGGAAAAAGCGCAATCCCTGCACAGCTTCAGGTCGTCATGCTGGTTTTTGGAGCATAACGGCTGGTCAACCAGCTAATGACTAGCTTAGACCAGCAAGAAACTAGTTATCAATTTCCAGTCACAGTTAGCTTTTTTCCAGCAGGGATTTACAGGGAATGGCATACACTGTAAACATGGTGGTGCTTCAGGAAAATGGGGGAACAAACAAGCACTTTAAACACATAAAGCACATAAAATGCATCAACAAGTCAACATTCCTACATTGCTTGAAAAAAAGTGTTTATCTTTGCAGAGACAGGTGTGTAAATGTTCATGCACCTGCAGAACAAATGCTAGCATTACATATGCAAACAAATGCA